TACCACACTCATCTTTGGACACCTTTAACTTTTTAGCTAACAGAGTTGAAACTGGTTTGAAGTTTTCCATTTTAAACTTTTTCAAAATATCATCAACATACTTCTTCTATGAAATAAAGATTCCACCATCCATCTGAACAACCTCAAGGCCAAGAAAGTAAGCCATAAGGCCCATATCAGTCATTTCAAATATCTTAATGAGTGCCTCCCTGAATTCTGAGATTAGCTTCAAGTTGTTTCTAGTAAAAACCAGATCATCAACATAGAGACAAATTATAACAATATCACTAGAATCCGTGCATTTGACATACAAAGTATGTTCATGAGGACATCTCATAAAACCACTTTCAACAAAATATGAGTCAATGCAACCATACCACGCCCTAGACGCTTGCTTTAAGCCATATAAGGCTTTTCTCAACCTGTACACTTTATTTTCCTCTCCTTTCTTCAGAAATCCTGCAGGTTGCTCAACATATATTTCTTCTTCAAGAAAACCATTCAAAAAAGCAGACTTGACATCCATTTGATGCAATTTCCAATCATTTTGGGCAGCAAGAGAAATAACCATTCGAACTGTATCAAGTCTACTTACCGGAGAAAAAACCTCAAAATAATCAATACCTAGTTTCTGCTTGTAACCCTTTGCTACTAACCGTGCCTTAAAACGGTCAATTTCTCCATTTGACTTGTACTTCGTTCTGTAAACCCACTTCACTCCAATTGGCTTCTTTCCAGGAAGTAAATCTGTTAACTCCCAGGTACCATTATTTTCAATGGCACGTATCTCCTCATCCATCGCCTTAAGCCAATGAGTTTCTGTAGCAGCCTCCTCAAAATATAAAGGATCACAATCTGCAAAAAGAGAAAATTGAACAATCTCTTCATCAGACAAGTCATTATCATGACCCAAAACATAATCCTCTAAGTGAGCTGGTAAGTGGCGCTCGCGTTGAGATCGTCGAAGTGACGACTCTGGTTGTGAAGGAGACTCGACATTATCTGGAATCAGTTGCTCATCAACAATATTTTCAACAACAGGAATAACAACTGAACTTTCATCTTTAGCTAACCAATCCCAGGCACCATATTCATCGAAAGTGACATCACGACTTATAACAACCTTTTTAGTTTCAGGATTGTACAGTTTATAAGCCTTGGAAGCGGTACTATAACTAATGAATACACATTTCTCACATTTATCATCCAACTTCTTTCTAAATTGATCTGGCACATGTGCATATGCCAAACATCCAAAAACCTTGAGATTTCTTATAGAGGGTTTCTTCCCACTCCAAGCTTCTTCGGGTGTCTTATCTCAGACACTTTTAGTTGGACACCTATTCAACACATAGACAGCACAAGCAACAGCTTCTGCCCAAAAAGGTTTAGGCAGATTCTTAGATTTCAACATGCACCTCACCATATCCATGATAGACCTATTCTTCCTCTCAGCCACTCCGTTTTGTTGTGGAGTGTATCTAGCTGTCATCTGGTGTTGGATACCCTTCTTCTTCAGAAAATCATCACAAGCAATATATTTTGTACCTCTATTAGTTCTCAAGATTTTAATTTCATAACCACTCTGCTTTTCAACAAAATCCTTAAATTGTTTGAAAACATCACATGCTTTAGACTTTTGCTTTAGAAAGTAAACCTATGTTTTCCTACTGAAATCATTAATGAAAGTAATAAAGTACTTACAACCTCCATGTGAGGAAACCTCCAACGAACACATGTCTGAATGAATAATCTCCAACTGTTTTGTGGCTCTCCTTGACTTTCCCACAGGGAAGGGATCTCTATGCTTCTTCCCAATCACACAAATCTCACATATACGATCAGGGACATTCACAACAGGTAAATCAGAAACAAGTTCCTTTCTCGCAAGATACTGTAATCCAGAGAAATGAAAATGGCCAAATCGCATATGTCATAACCAATTATCATCACACACTTCAGAATTAAAGCAAGATATGTTCTTATCAGCAGAAAAACTATCGCTAGCCAAAAGTAAGGTTTCAGAACTCTCACCAGACTTTTCTGCAGTGTTTTCAGCAATGTTTGCTTGATTTCCACAATTGTCCTCATTATACCAGCAATTTGCAATCTTGTGCCCATACTTGCCACAATTGTAGCAATGAAATGAAAATTTACCTTGTTTGGTATTACCTCCACCTCTTCCTTGGTTGGAGTTACCATGACCTCTTCCACTAAAACCTCCTCTTCCTCTTCCACGACCTCTACCAGATCCTCCACCTCTTTGATTAGTGCCAGTCACATTAAGTGTGACTTGACTCTTCAAAGCTTCTTCAGCTGGTGGTTCCGATTTTGGCGCAATTTTGTCAATATGACTTTCTACCATACCTTTCAGCTCTGCAATTGATAAGAGCTCAGTTTTGTGTGACTCTGTGATCGAAGCCACCACATGGTCATACTTCATCGGCATAGTTCGAAGAACTTTTTCAACCACTGCACCATCTTCAATCAAATCTCCGTATAACCTCATCTTATTCACCATATCAATAAGTCGAGTGAAATACATATCTACTGTTTCTGTAGAGGTCATCTCACAATAGTCATACAACCTTCTCAACGACTGCAACTTAGACTTTTGCGCCCGATCGACTCCTTTGTTTGACACCTTTAAGATGATGTCCCAAGTTTGCTTTGCTGTTTAAGCACGAGCTAATTGCCCAAAAATGGAGTAATGAACACCTTGGTGAATCTGTCCCAAGGCCAATTGATCTCGCCGTATAGCGGCTCATCAGCTCCTTCTGGTAGATCAGTATCAACAAAGCTCCAAAGATTTTGAGCTTTCAAATGTGTAGACATCATAATTTGTCAATAATTGTAATCGAGTTTCCCGTCCAATTTGAGACCCGACCATACAATATTGGAATTTGCAGTCATATTTCACTACGGGAAATATCTCGGGGTTGAAAGGTTGACTGGCTCTGATACCAAATGTAAGATATATATATAATAAATATAATATATCTATATAATATTATATATATATATATATATATATATATATATATTTGTGTGTGTGTGTGTGTGTATATATGTATACATATATATATATACACACACACACACACACAATTATATATACACACACACACACACAAATATATATATATATATATATATATATATATATATACACACACACACACACACAAATATATATATATATATATATATATATATATATATATATATATATATATGAGAAGAGAGTGAGAGAGGAATAGAAGTAAATGTTTATTACTTCACTTGATGATTGTAAAATGCTTTGTAATTGAACATATTTATACTAAAACATAAACAACAATAATCCTAAAATGATGCTAATAAAGCTCCACCATGACCCACGTACTTCTGCACTCCATGATGCCATGCAACCATTACTTCCTTTATTTTTTACCAAATTAACTAACTTATCTTACTTGTTTAACATTATAATAATAATAATATTATTATTATAACTGTACAGTTCAACTTTTTTGCTATTGGTTTGTGTACTTATTTTTTCTCCAGTCTAATATTGTCATGAGTTTATAATAATTTTATGAAGAGTACAGTATTTCTGAAGATCGATGTTATTAATTATAATGAATTTAAAATACAACGTAAGCAAGACATGAATACTTAGGCTATTTTCATCCGAACAATTTAGTATATAAAATTAAATAGACTCTATTGTCATATTAAATTAGTATATTTGCAATTTATTACTATTTTCATATATTTTTACAATTTCAACTCTCTATCAAAATATAATATAACAATGATAATAGTATTTAAATTTATTATTAAAAAGTACAATATAGCTGAGAAGTCGTCTAAAAATAATAATGTTTGAAAGCTTTCTAATACTATTTGCATTAAAAAAAAAAATGGAAAAGTCATAGACATAGTAAATACACAAATGACTCATTTTGTACTAGTGAATAATGGCACTTGACATTTAAATTAATTGGTTGAGTCGTTGAGATATGAGTTAACGTGGTATCTTGAATATCCACAAACATTTCTCTTAAATCCGATGGTGTGATTGTGGGAACTAGGTAAATTCAAAAGAGTTCGGACTTGCTTTCTCAACTCACATCTATGAGCGGTGATTCCTCTATCTCTTGCTCGCTTTGATCTAACTCTGACAGCATTGTGACTCTAGTCGAATGCCAATAGATCATTCTCATTGGAAGTCAAACTTGAAACTTTGGTGTTACCAAGCCATATTCTGTACATGTAGTTAATCGATTATGTATCCATAAATAAATTGGAAGCACACAACATGTTAAGTATAGACACATAAAATGGTAACTATTGTTAACTGTCGGTACACATGTTAACATGCAGTTAACATAATCTGTACCTGCAATTAACAGTTTTTAATTTATGTCTGTAGTTATCATTTTATGTATCTGTAGTTAACATGTTATTTGCCTTTAATTTATTTACAATCACATAAATAATTAATCGGCGATACAAAATATGTATTTTGGACCAGGGTCTACAATGCAAGGTAGACTTTAGACACATTAGGGATAATACATTTACTTGTTATGCCACACATTTGGTTTCTTATGAAACAATCTCTGTGTGGTTTAATTTGTAGAGGTAGTGGTCATATTCTATTTAATATATGTCAATAATGAAATAACAATAACAATGCCATTATAGAGAAAGACGACATAACCAATCTAGGAAATAGCATCTTGAAGATACTGAAGGATATGTTTATCTGAGTAACCTATCAATGTCATATCTAGGTTTCTTGCAAAAAATAAATTAATATCGTCTTTTACGCATTTGGAAGATACCGAAAGATATGTTTAACATCAATCCAATGTCTCCTTGCATGAGCAATCTATTGATAAAAAATCATGCATGACTTTGTTTATCTACCACAGCAGATTACACAAAAGAACTACATTTTCTATACTTCAAACTACATTGTAATCTTGAAGCACATTTTTAATTTTATTGTCTTTTTTTTTTGAATGTAAAAAGATCAGAAGTAGGTGAAAGATGATATGATAGCTAATAATGGTGAAATTATGTGGTAGTGGAATTGAAGGTGCATTCTGCAGGGAGGCCTTGGGGGAACCTATTGATATCTGCACAATAATTGTAAACCATGTAATTTTGGTGCACCCATTTCAGCCTTTCTGCACTTGTGGCATCAAGTTCTTGTGAGAGCCATGGCTTGATTTTGGTGGAGTTTGAGGTGCAAGATGATTTCCCAGATGCCCAAATGCAAGCATTGGCCTTGAAATTTCTTAGGGTTGCTTTGAAGGGGGCTTGGGACCAATCGGTCTTCACAAGCCCACCTCTTGTTGCCCAATCTTCTGCATCCCACAAGCTTGCATACACCTTCATGGGTTGAGTCTTGGGATATGGTACCCCACTTGAAGATTCTAGGTTCTTGAACACTCTTATTGGTGTGCCATCCACATAGAAACTAAAAAATACCCATTAATTCAAAACATGTTAGATTCATTTGTGTAAAAAACTTTGTCATCGAGTAGCATATATTATTGACTTTACTACTTTTGATATATAGAAAGTTATAGATTCGAGTCTCAGCACCAAGTGTAAACTGTGCAGTTAAGGCAGCTGGGGGGGGGGGGGGGGGGGAGGGGAGGGGAAACAATCATTATTATGGACCATGGACTATGGACCACATATCTGTGTGGACCATACTATCAAATAATGTACATTCAGTACACAAATAATGTATTTTTTGTATATTAAAAATGTATATTGTATTCAAGAAAAGTCCATTATTTTGTATAATGTACATTCATTACACGAATAATGTACTTTTAGTATATTAAAAATGTACTTTTTGTTATGGTCCACACAGCACTGTGTGGACTATGGTTCACACAATAATTTATCGAGAGGGAAATTGTTGGCCGGAGGCCTGAAAGGCCAAGTCCAACGCCCTTCGTTTTGAAATGTGGTGTTGACTCCTATGCAGGGACGGAGCCAAAGGGGGGCAGCTGCCCCCCACCTCACCCCACCCCCACCCCATATATAGTCTTTGTATATATATATATATATATATATATATATATATATATATATATATATATATATATATATATATATATATATATATATATATATATATATATATATATATATATATATATATATATATATATATATATATATATATATATATATATATATATATATATATATATATAGTACATGTTTTAGTATTAGTATAAAAAAACCAGGGTTGTAAAAATCCCGCCTAGGCACCGAGTAATTGGCGCCTAGGCACTAGGCGCCCATAGACCGTGGCGATTTCCGCCCTAGGCTCCTGCCTAGGAGACTGGCCGCCTAGGCGCCCGCCTAGCACCTAATTCAGCCGCCTAGCGCCTAACTCGTCTGATTACGCCAAGTTAACTCGTCAATTTCTGTCGAGTTAGTCGAGTTAACCCGACCGACCCGACCTTGCTAATTTTTTCCATTTATATGACATATACATATAATATGACATATATACACTCGTAGACTAGTTTGATACTTTCACTCTTTGGATGATTGAAGTATTTGGGTATTTCATTTGAGTTTTTTTTTTTTTTTAATATTCTTTTGATGTGATGACTTATGAATTTGTCATTATGTCATTTATTTGGATGTGTTATTTGATTGAATGTTGAAAACAACATCATTAAAATTGTCAAATTGCAAGTCTGCTACTGTTTTTTTCGCGACCGCCTAGCGCCGCCTAGATTCCGCCTAGGCGCCGACTAGGCCGCTTAGGCGCTAGGCGCTGCCCGGACGCCCGACTAGCGCCCAGCGCCTACTGCAACCATGAAAAAAACTATAAAATGTTAATAAGAGTGAGTTAGATTAGGTGGTAGAGTATATATTTAGCAATTGTGAGGTCAAGGGTTTAAATCTTGGCATAAATATAGTTTTACTATTCATTAATTATGTTTCATATTTTTATAAAGTTTCAATGTGTTTTATTTTTCGTCCATATCTAACAATATTTACAACTATATTTCTTAAGTAATTTATTTATTTATTTTTAAATTATTTCTTTTATTTTAATGTTTCGCCTTTACTGGAAAATTTTTTTGAATCCGTCTGTACTGTTTCGCCCCCCCCCCCCCCCCCCCCCCCCCCCCCCCCCTCAACCAAATTTCTGGCTCCGTCCCTGCTCCTATGCGTGTATATATAAAGAAATAAAGTTCTGTTACTAGTTATAACTTTTGGCGTAGTGATATAAGTGCTTAATCTACAATACAATTCTAATAAGAGCGAATAATGTTAGGCCCTTAACTGGAATAAAAAAAGTGTCGGTACTAATTGTTTCTTAAAATGAATGGTTCATATTATTTTGATTTTAGTATTTTAATGATTTTCCTTATTTACCCTTTATTATATTATTTTCTTTCCTTAAATAATCTTAAATTCCGTTAGTATAAACTTTATTAACGGTATATTCCGTTAACTATTTATTATTCTTAACTTACTTATTAATTACCAAGACTATGTGATCTAATGGTACCCGGATTGGACTTCCATTTGGAAGGTTACGAGTTCAAGCCTCAGTGGAGGTGTTATTGGTTCTTTGTGTTTCAGTAGGTTGAGAAAGTATATGAACAGGTATTACAATATAATAGGGCCAGTAACATTCAAAAAAAAAACTTACTTAATTCTTATTAATTTTTATAAGAAAGGTCTTAAGTTCGAACCTCATTCCAATTAGATTTAGCATAATTGTTAAACATATACTACGAATATGTTAAAATGTATTAAAAATATAATATAAAATTTCACATAAATTTTGGTTAAATAATTAGCCCGACTAAATACATAGCATTCAATGATTATAAATCAGGAACTTTGAAAATCATTTGATTTTTTTCATTAAAAAAATAATAAAGTTTAAGTTTAGTTTTTTTTGTTTTGTTTAATTAATCTTCTTTTAATTATTGAGAACAAAACTTAATATTTCAATTATGCTTTTATCAATGCATGAAAACTTCTAAAGAAATTTGTAAGTTAATTTTTACTATATTATTATAATAATATCTATTGTAACCTTATATTTTGAATTATTTATTATCATCATCTATTGACAGCAATTGTCATTGACGAACTTTCAAAATAATTTGTCTCAACAACTAATGGAAATAAAAAAAAAATCAATGATTTCATTATTATCGATGAAAAGTATGTACGCCACTTTATTCAATCGTTATGCTGTGGAACTGTGTCCACATTGCAATGTGAACACGGCTCTATGTTCATAATTACTGGATTATATGTTTATAATTATAAAGTTATATATTTATAATTTTTGAACTTCATATTCATAATTATTGAACTCTATATTCACAATTATTGAACTCTATATTCACAATTACAGAACTTTATGTTCATAATTACTGAATTATATGTTCATAATTATAAAGGTATATATTCATAATTTTTTAACTTCATATTCACAATTATTGAATCTCTATATTCATAATTACAAAACTATATGTTCACAATTATGTTCACACTCTATGTTCATAATTATAGAATTATATGTTCATAATTTTTGAACTATATATTCATAATTATGAACAGTTTAGAACCATGTCCACCTTGCAAGGTGGACACAGTTCCATAGCATAATTTGTCCACTCTATTGCTCTTATTACTTAAATTTAAAAATAAATTAGTGGCTACAACAAAAAATAATACATATGCATTTAATTAATTTAGAATTAGATGTCTCACAACACATGAAACATGTAGGGAAAAACTACCACTACCAAATATCAACATGTGCTTATAAGATAAAGAGTTCATAGCACAACTAAGATCTCAGTCATATACACAACAATACAAATCTAAAACTTCATACACCATAATGTCATTGCATGATGAATCCCTCTATAATACCACCAATAACCCAATTGTACATGACGCACTACCAATAACAGGAAAAAAAAGGACATGTACTGAAGATGAAAACAATAGCAATGCTACTCAAAAGAGAATTAGAAATTTAAACCAAAAAGAGTATTTAGTTAGACTATCGCTTTTAGACTTAGTACTTAGATTAACGTTATTACAAAGTTGCAAACATTTATTTTTGTGACAGTTATATATAATCAATCTCTCATATATTATCTTGCATTTATATACTTTAAATTACCAATTTAAATAAACAAATTCAATATTTATTTACTTATGCATTAACATCTTCTATATAATATTGTATTGATATACTTTGAAATACTTATTTAAAAATAAGTATTGGGCATTATCATATTCGCGCAAAGCGCGTAAAAGAACTAGTAATAATAATAACCACCAAAAGTACAACATATATAGGGACGGAATACTTACATTATTGCTTGAGGATTCCAAAGTATGGAATAGGTGTGGAAATTGGCTGTGGGGTCAAACCAAAGGTAGAACTGTTGCTCCCTGTTACCCTGACCTTGAGTGTAAACATTTGTGTGAACAATGTATGGGTCACCACTAAGGTTCCCCAAGAACTCAAAATCAATCTCATCATGTGTTGCACCTTGTGATGATAACTGCGTGCAATTATATGTAACATAAAATCATGTCATTATATTTACCACATGAATATAACTAGATTAGTTAAAGCATTACCGGTAATATTAGAATAGTCAGATATTCTAATTAATAAATGTACGTTTATATATCTCTCTCAATCCCTACTTAAAATTTTTATACATGATTGAAACAATATACCTCTCTAATCATTCCAACCACAATTTAGATCACAATTTATCTATATTATCTTTCAGAAACGGCTACAATCGCTCTTTCATACATACCATAAACTACATATATGGAATACTTTAATTTGAAAAAAAAAAATTATGAGCAAAGTAACTTACATAGTATGCAGTGACAGTGCCTGCAGAATTTCCTGGGACAAGTTTGAGTTGCATATCAATCTTTCCAAACAAATACTCTCTCTTAGATTGTATACCTGAACCAGAGTCTTTGTCAAGGGAAAGACTTAGAAGCTTTCCATTATTGAGTATTCCTGCCCTATCACCTCCCCAACTGATATCAAAATCTTTATTGAAATTACCACCCCAACTATGTCCCATCAACAACAAGGTTAAACACAACAACAAAAGTGCTGTTCTTACATTAAAAGTACTAGGTTGAGAAGCCATGTAAGCTGCGAGGATATATGGTGTTGGATTAGATCAGAGGACAAGAAAAGAAGAGAATCAATGGTTGGTAGTTTTATTTTGTTTCACAAGATAAATCTTGTACTCTACTAGGGGATATATATATACATATATATGTGTGTATGTGTGTGTAGCTAGAGAGAAATTGGCTAAGGTTTGAAGAAGTTGGTAGGACAATGGAAGTTTCCTTAATGGTTATGACATTTCCTTTTCTAGATTAGATGGTTTAGGTTGGTTCTGGAGAATTCTAACATGTACACAAGACAAATTAAACAGGAATTTGACATAAAGAGCTTACATAAATCACAAATTAGGAGTGTTTGGTAAATAATTGTTAGCTGATTACCTTAGTGAGTTTGACTAATTGATAGCATTAGCTGATTGTAAAAAAATATTTGGTAAATTAATTGTTAGTTGATAGCTTATTACATGCAAAATAACTTTTTTAAAAATTTGATCTGCTGAGCAGCTTTTTGAATTTTAGCATTTTAGAGTAACAAACTGTTACAAAAAACTAATTAATCAAACACTTATATTAGTTGTTTTATAAAGTCAAACAACTAATAATGGTCAAATATCAATAAGTATTATCATTAAAAAAATATTGATAACTTTTTATAATGCCACATGTCCTCTTACTTGAGGATAGATAATGAATGGGGATGTGGTGGGTTGGCAATGGGCTAATCTCCACTTTAAATGTCGCAATTAGATATGATCACAGCATGGGTTTATCAAAAAATAATTATATCAACTTCACACGTTTTTGACTAAAAATAAATAAATAAATAAATAAACATCACTAGATACCTTTTTGACATAAGAAAGTATGTCAAGTGTTCACTTCCTAAGGTATACCTTGTTTGCGGGGGCAAATTATGTTGTGGACTCGTGTCCACTATGCATTATGGACACGAATCTAAAACGTCGTCATGTTTAGGGATAACGACGGTATTTTAATTAAAAATAAATTAATTTTGTCTCCCCGTTAACGGCGTTATTCGTTTGTGGACTTATTTTTATGAATGTACAGTTATGCAATTATGAATGTACAGTTATGCAATTATGAATGTACATTTATGAAATTATTATGAATGTACAATTATGGAATTATGCACACAGAGCTCTGACATTATGAACTTAAAATTATGAATATATAGTGATAAAATTATGAACATAGAGCACTAAAATTGTGAACATAGAGCTTCGAAAATTATGAATTTACAGTTATTGAATTATGAATGTACAGTTATTGAATTATGAATGTACAGTTATTGAATTATGAATGTACAGTTACGAAATTATGAATATACAGTTATGGAATTATGAATGTACAATTATGAAATAATGAAAACAGAGCTCTGACATTATGAACTTACAATTATGAACATATAGTGATAAAATTATGAACATATGCTCCTATAATTATGAAAATAGGAGAATGAGCTTTGAAAAGAGCTTCTGTGTGAAGAAGAAATGGTATGATCAAAAGGAAAGAAGTGGTCGGAAATTAAACAAAAAAAATTGGTAGAAAATAATGGTGCCACTTACAACATCGTTACTGTGTCCACAATGTATGCTGGACACGGGTCCATAGCATAAATAATTGGTTTGAGGGGGTATCATTCATGTAGTGCGATGGGCTGCACAAAGTGCAAATTCTAGGATTTTCTATTGGTTAATTATTGCATTTGTTGGACCAAGAATTTTCTATTGGTTAATTATTGCTTTTGTTGGACCAATTATTTGGTTGCTTCTTACAAAACTTGGGTTGAATATCTATAAGCAAAAATAATAGAACTATTTTTGTTCGACAATTATATATGCTGTGGAAATGTGTTTACCATGCGCATGGTGAACACGGGTGGATTCATAATTTTTATACTGTAGATTTATATTTTTTTTTTGAAAACGTAAATTCATAATTTTGTATGAAAATTATGAATCTATAGTACGGAAATTATGAATCTACAGTATAGAAATTATGAATCTACAGTATAGAAATTATGAATCTACAATATAGAAATTATGAATCTACAGTATAGATGTTATGAATCTACATTATAGAAATTATGAATCTACAGCTTAAAAATTATGGATCTATCATGTTAACAACAAATGAAAAACAAAATTATGAATCTACGTTTTAAAAAAAATAAAAAATTATAAATCTACAATATAAAAATTATGGATCTACCCCTGTGTTCACCATTCACATGGTGAACACGTTTCCACAGCATAACTATTGATTTTTGCTAATAAAAAATTGATTTATACAATAATCGGTTGGTTGTGAAATTGTAAAGACTACTAATTAATTAAAATGTGTCATACCCAAAAATGAAATATTAATGACTAAAATAGCAGTTATACTAATGAAAAAGCATTATTTATTTTGGTGGATTGTCTATATGACTAGCAAATTTGTTAATATAATAAATTTGCTAGGTGGCTTTTGCTACCATCGCCACCATATTTTTTTCATTTTTATTATTTTTTTTATTATTATATTTAAAATATAATATGAAAGTGGGATCAATTTTTGAAAGTTGGAAAGATTTGCAGGGATGTAGAATAATGGTGGAGAATTTATAAATTTGATAATGTGGAAGTGGGACCATTTTTGGAATTAAGAGAGATTTGCAGGGATAATGATAGCTTAGTTTTACTTATGTCTATATATAATGACGAGAATGGAAAAAAAGATATTATCGAGTTTGATCAATAAGGCCAGAAATTCAAACCCATAACCGGTGACTCTTATACTAAATTGAAGCATTATTCCATCTCAACTGAAAAATTAATTAACTCATTTAGTTCGCTTAAACTTTCACTGAAAATGTTTAAAATCTCTAATATATCCTTGCTATATACAAACATAAAACTTAAATTAGCAAACAATAGTTATATATACAATACAATTTATAATGAATCAAGCTTTAAATATAATGCATAAAAAATCAAATTACAAATAATCGTGAATTAATACACACACTACAAATACCTCTCTCTCTCTCTCTCTCTCTCTCTCTATATATATATATATATATATATATATATATATATATATATATATATATATATATATATATAAAAGAGAGCTCATATGTGATCATTAGGTGTGGCGGTGTGATCGTATCTGTGTCGTTGAATCAGTTTAATCTAACGGCGGTGGTTAATTCTGAGGATTTAAGGATTTTAGTGCGTTTTGGTAAGTGGGGGTGTTATGGAAATTACAGTGGCCATTTATAGCGCCCGCGTTCCAGAAATACACTACCAGTCTTGACAACATGCACCAATAGTGTAATAAAACACACCACAGTGAAACACACCAATAGTGTATTCCCGAACACTGTATGGTGTATTTATTCATATCTAATGGCGCGTTTTTGGTTATGCGTACCTAATTTGTGTATGTTTTTTGTTGTGCATTTCATAACATGGATGGTGTATATTTGTATAACAATTGGTGCGGCCGCACTGACTACACAGGACGGCGTTGCTGCACCTGATCTTGGCACCAATGGAAATCTACAAATACACCAGAATAAGGCTAATAATGCACCAATTACACAAATAAGACACACAACAATGTGATTTTCTCTATTCCGGTGCCCTATGACGAGTTTACCCTTGCAGTTCGCTGGGTAGGAGAACGTGCGCGAAAATACTAGAAGAATCTTGATTAATGTGATTCATTGGATCTATCTAATCTAATGGCTTGTAATTGGTCATATGACGACACCTAACAACATGGCTGCACTTTATCTTCCCTATACATACATACACACACACACACACACACACACACACACACACACACACACACACACACACACACACATATATATATATATATATATATATATATATATATATATATATATATAGAGAGAGAGAGAGAGAGAGAGAGAGTTAAGTTCAGGTGCGGCCGCACCAATAGTTATGCAAATATACACCATCAACTCTAGGAAATACACTGCAAAAACACACACATATTTGGTACGCATCACCAAAAACACACCATTAGGTATGAAAAAAGTACTGCATAGTGTTTGGAAATACACCATTAGAAGTAGGGAGTTATATGATGTATTTTTTTGAGTGTGTTTTGTATTTTTTGATGTATTTTTGCATTTCATTATTGTGTGTTTCTCTTACACTATTGGTGCCTATTGTACTGTTATCACTATTGGTGTATTCTGCAAACAACCACACGAGAGGCTACGTCCGCATTTGAGCAAACTTTTATATGTATGTATGTATGTATCTATGCATGTATGTGTGTGTGTATATATATAATGCATATACAAATATAATATATGCAGTAATTACAAATCAGATTACATAGAAAAAACTTTAAGTACGTACTAGAATATTTTGTTAAATAATAAGTAATATGTTAGGATATTAATTTTTTTTATATTTATAAGAGATTTTTAATATAGCAGTATGATATTAAAAATGATAAATAGGTTTGGAAGAGATAGAAGGGGGGTGGGGGTGGGGGTGGGGAATAGATTATCCAATCGTTATACTCTGCACAACGGTGCACATAACACTGTACGCCCCACGCCTCCCAAAACGACGTCGTTTTGATAAGTTGTGTGGGGAGTCGACGCGACAGAGTGTATGTGTATTATGTTATATAATCATGTACATTATGTTATACAATTATGTACATTCTGGTATAACAATTATGTACATTATTTTACCAAATTATGTACATTTGATCACGCGATTTTTTTAACAGTTAAAGTTTATGTACATTTTAGTATATAATTATGTACATTTTCAAAACATGAATTTTTTTTTAACAAGTTAACAACAAACATGGAAAAATGAAATTTTCAAAAAAAAAAAAAAATACAAAACGACGTCATTTTGTACTAGGGCGCATAATGCAATGTGCGCCTGGTTCACGATATAAATTGCCTAAATTATCCGGTGAGTTCGGAAATGGGTGTAACGTGTTTCTATCGTAGTGGAAGAATATTATGGGCGAGTGGTTCAAAAGTTACTAGAACGATCATTATATTATATTATGGGCGTGTGCTTTACATATGTTAATGTGCATAACAATAAGTAG